TGTGTGTGTGTGTGTGTGTGTGTGTGTGTGTGTGTGTGTGTGTGTGTGCAAAAACAAAGACGCTAATTGATAAGTAGAAAGTCACACAGATAGAAAAAGAAACAGAAAGAGAGGAAGGGGAGTGGAGCAAGAAAGGTAGACGGACAAATAGAGAGAGTGGGAAATGAGAAGAGAAACAAGAAGACAGAGAAAAAGGAAGGGGGTGACAGAAGGAAAGATAGAGCAAGAGAGAGACAGAGAAAGAGAGAGACAGAGAAAGATGGGAAGAGAAAAAGAGAGAGAGACAGAAAGAGAAGGAGAAAGAGAAGGAGAGAGAGAGGGGGGAGAGGGGGAGGGAGAGCGAGAGAGAGAGTAAGAAAGAGAGAGATGGTCAGAAAAAGAGAGAGACAGTCAGAAAGGGAGAGAGAGAGATAGAGAGAAAGAAAGAGAGAGAGAGAGAGAGAGAGAGAGAGAGAGAGAGAGAGAGTGAGAGAGAGTAGATATACTCACGGCGGTACAACAGATGAGTACGATGAAGAAAGACTCCACAGCTCCGGACATCCCCACAATCCACGTCATCCGAACGAAGAGCAGAATACCGAAGATATTCTGTATACAGGGGAGGTACACACCCAGCACTGTGCCCAACATGGCTTTCTGCGGAGGGGGAACCCATAATGAGGGTTATGGTCTTAGTAAGTGTTTTACGGCACTTGCAACTCAATAAGTTCATATAAGTGCCGCAGATTAGAGTTAGTTTCAATAGATATTTTAGGGCATTGGCATCACAATAAGTTTATATAAGTGCCGAAGATTAAGATTAAAGGTGTTACAAGAGAGTAACAAACACAAAAAGAAGAAGGGGAGATAAAGATGACAGACGTTTGATAGGAAAGAAGAAGCAAACCACAACAGAGCACCCACCAACTACCCACATAATGTGTATGTCATATACGATACAGCACATTAATAGTCCGTGTGGTAGGCCTATTCTTTAAATCATTGTCGTAATCAAAGATAAATTTAAGTAGCATTATATCAATAGCAAAGAAATAATGACACACACAAAACACTGCATAACTGTCTAGATTTACACTTAACGTATTTGATTGATTGATTGATTGATTGATTGATAGGTTGGTTGATTGATTGGTAGGTTGACTGATTGAGTCGGTTTGTTTATTACAGGGGATGGACACACATACGCACACGGACATACTGAATTACTATAATAGTAATATGTGTGCGTGTGTGTATGTATGTGTGTGTGTGAGAGAGAAAGAGAGAGAGAGAGAGAGAGACAGACAGAGAGAGACAGAGAGAGACAGAGAGAGAGACAGAGAGAGAGACAGACAGACAGACAGACAGAGAGACAGAGACAGAGACACGAGAGACACAGAGACACGAGAGACACAGAGACACAAAGACAGAGACAGAGACAGAGACAAAGACAGAGACAGAGAGAGAGACAGAGAGAGAGAGAGATAGAGAGAGATAGAGAGAGATAGAGAGATATAGAGAGAGACATACAGAGAGAGAGAGAGAGAGAGAGAGAGAGAGAGAGAGAGAGAGAGAGAGAGA